TTGTAATTTATATATTTTATTTCAAAGTGCATACCTCCGGTGGAGAGAGTTGGTATAAATTGGATGCTAAGAATTCAGGCGAGAATTTAATTGATTTTTCCGGTTGACTGCTGTTGTTGTCATACTTAGATTCCGATCTTCGACGAGCCCGGGACTTTAGAAATGAAATGAAATTGAGTGAAGAGAGGAAATTTAAGCAGTTCACGTAGTGATCAGAATATTAAAAATGAAGTACACCACCTCCTGAGAAAGAGTGTACAAGCTTAGATCGGGAGAAGGCATCAAGGTACTGACAAATACCGCAGCTGCGATCTTTTCGGGGAAGCTTTCCATGGCTAAGGACATGCCGATCCCACCCAAGCTATGACCGACGAGGATCACACGCTCTTCAGCATCCAAACTCTCCAGAAATTCCATCAAAGGCTCATAGTATTCTGATATTGAATTCAGCTCCTCCGCCTGCTTCGGATGGATCCCGGAGGCAGCCATGTCCAGAGCTGTCACACGGTGTCCACTCGATTTCAGCAATTCAGCGACCTTATACCAACACCATGCACCATGGCCGCCTCCGTGAATCAACACTAAATGCTTCTCTTTCTCTCTCTGCATCTTATCTCACCTAATATTTTCACTTACCCCGATCTAAATGATAGGAATGGAAAAGTTCACACACACACACACATACATATATATTCTCCCTGAAACAAGAAGAAAGGAAAGAAGAAGACTGATAATAGAGCTGCAAAAAAATACTAATGTTATTACTATTTTATTATTGTATCACATACAAGCACTACTTTTATATATTGCTTTAACGCATGTAAAGAAAGAAGAGAGATTAGCTAAGGACACATGTGAGCACGTGTATACTAAGTGACTGAGAGAATTATAAATATAGATAAATATAAAGATAGTTTAAAATGATAAAGTAAAACATTATTTGATAATCTACTCGGGGTGTAATGCATATCTAATGTTGACTAATTTAAGGACTTCTGAACTTATTTAAAAATAATTAAAATCATAAAAATAATTATTTAGTCAAAGGGTTTATCTAAAATGAGTATGTGCGATCTATTTAAATATAACTTGTTCGGATGAATCAGAAGGGAACAAATATTTCTTCTTCTTTTTTTCTGTATCTTTTCTGGTAAATAAAAATGAATTAGTTATGTGAGTTTTTATCAATATCAGTGTAGAATGAATTTGGAAGATTATAGTAAAATAAGATACTTATATCGAGTAAATACGTATAAACGAAAATGTTGATTGAAAAATTTTTAAAAGAAAAAACATTTCATAATATTGAGTTTAAAATTTTTTGAGGTTAGAAAATTTATTAAAAAATTGAGAATATTATATTGGAAATGTTATAATTGGTATTTGGTTCATTACTTGTTTTCGTACTACCTAGATCATAACATATTACATATACAGATAGAATAAGGTGAGTTCATTTTAAAATAATCATCATTCCAATAATATATAGATAACAATACAACCATTTATCATCACATTCTCATATTATGAACATTATATACAAACAACAAGTTATATAAATGATTCACTAACCAATAACATAATATTGAATTGTGTATGATATGAGTACATGAATAATGTTGAAAAAATAAAAAATCACATAATTCCTAAAAGAATTACAAGAAACGAGAGGTTGTTCTTGCTCAACAAAAAAAGTCATTCATTCTCTTTATTTTTATATTTTTTTTTATTTCTAATATGTAGGGTTTAATAATAATGTTTGGATTAGGACTAGTGGGCTTATCTCAAGCCCAAGAAGACAATATACAAAGGGTGTTTATTCCTGCACCCCACTTGTTTCTATCTACATCCCATTAAAAGGTGTGAAATCCCTAAATTACTTTACATTAAAATTATAATAAAAATTCCTACACCTTCTTTTTCTTTAATATTATTATTACTATTATTATTATTTTTCTTCTTTTTTTTTCCTCCTCTCCTTTGCATTCCCCTCCTTTACATCCTACCATCACCTTCACAATTCACGTCATTTCCTTTTTTGTTTGTGACCCTTCTTCTTCTTGTCTTCTCTTTTGTGGATGTCACTACATCCTTCTATTATTTCTTATCCTTTTTTCCTTTTTTTTTCCTACAAAAAAATTGAAACTTATTTTACAAATAGATTTATCAAAGAAAACATCAACAAATATTTTAAAAATTTAACTATCAATAGATTTAAAATTAAATTATTGAGTTTTAAAAAAAATATAGATGAATTTACTGATAAATTTTACTATGTACGTGATAAAAATTTATAATGAAAATTTTGATGTTTATTTTGCTAATGAAATTTATCAATATATAAATTATTGTTAGATCTTACTCATAAATTTTATGACGGATCGTTTATCGATAAATATTTTTGTATGTATTTAAAATTTTAAAATCTATCACTAAAATTTATTTACCAGTTGATTATTCAATAATATAAAATTTTTTTTGTAGTAATTCATTTATCTTAATTATTTTATAATTTATAGAAAAAGTAAATATATTGACTTGAAGTTTAGAAAGGTAACTTTTTTAAGAAAAAAAATAATAATGCTTATAACTTATTCATAATCTTCCTTTTGTTTATCCATTTAAATTGTAACCTTTTAAAACAGCACTAGAGTTAAAAATAATTATTTATGTTCCTAAACTATTTATGTTTTTTATAAAGAGGCTCTTAAAAAGATTGAATAAAGTTTATGATTTTTTTGAATTGATATATCATAATAATAACAACAATATATTGAACAAAATTCAACTAAAATAAGTAAATAGCTAGAAACTAAATTAAAAATATAGTTTAAAAATACAATTGAAAGGTGTGAAGACCTAGAAACGAAGTTAACCTAATTATTATTACATAAACATACCAAGAAAAATGTAGTGGGATCTTACGGAAATGTGGATGAAATTTGTCTAATTTCATTTGTGTTTTCTATATATACGTTACAGAGGAGAACACAGTGAGGAAAGCACTGGAAAGACAGGATGAGTGAGAATGAGAGTAAGAAAAAACACTTTGTCCTGGTGCATGGTCTTGGCCATGGTGCTTGGTGCTGGTACAAGCTGAAGCCACTTTTGGCATCAGCTGGCCATAAAGTCACAGTCCTTGACCTTGCAGCTTCAGGCATAGACACACAAAAAATACAAGACATCCCCACTTTTTATCACTATTCCAAACCTTTGTTGGATCTTTTGGCGTCTCTTCCTCCTACAGAAACAGTTGTCCTTGTCGGACATAGCTTTGGAGGGATGAACATAGCCCTTGCAATGGAAAATTTTCCAGAAAAAGTATCTCTCGGAGTTTTTCTATCAGCTTTTGCTCCTGATCTCCACCACAAACCCTCCCATGTATTACAAGAGGTATGTTTTTTTTATTATTATTATTAAAGTAAATAAAAACCAGATTATGCATACAAATTACAAACTGTAAGGTACTTACAAAATATACCTGTGAAAAGCTAAGACGTACTTTTCTGATCGGTGTTCACCATTAAATTAAATGAGTAGGTGCATCTACTCTACTCTTTTCATTCCCTTTGCCGCAATTTTTCTAAATTTTTTATGTATTTGTGCGTCATACAGTTTTTCTAAATTTGTATATTTTTGTGTGATTATTTGTTCTTACAATGTTTATCCCAAGTAATAGAGTGAAAGACTAACGATTTTTTTTTCTATGAAAAAAAAATGGTAGAAGATTAATTATACATTTACATTTCTTTTTCAAATAAAGATGCTTTCTTAAAAATATTTAAAATTAAAACTTTAACATACCAGAAATTGAAAGGCAGTCCATAAAATATATTTACGTAATTTTAATGTTGTCTTCAAATAATTTATAGTATTTTTTTTGTTGATTTATATATATATATAGCAGGCATGAGATATGAGTTTGTGTGTATATACTAAATACATAGTATTAATTTAGTAGATGCAGGGATGAGGTGAGAATTAAAATGGTTATCCATTCAAGAATAGAACAATTACATTTTTACTATTTTAAAAACCTACCGCTACCATACTATATTAATACGCTTTAAACTCATCTTTAATCTACCTCCTTAAAATTGGTTGGATAGAGTTTGGATAACTATTGGCAATGAATGTCGAAACACGGATATCCTTGCTCTGTACAACAAAAATTACTCTTTCTATCTCAATTAAAATCACCAAATTAAAGTTAATTTTGATCTATGTACTTTAAGTATTGTTAGAAAAATGGTTAATTAAAATAAAGATGCGAAATAGATAATAACGTTGTGGATGTGGATTTGGACAGTTGACTAAGAAAGAACCACTTAATGGATGGATGGACTGCGAGATATCGAAGACTGGAAACAAAACCACGCTTCTTTTCGGTCCTGAGTTTTTGTCCACTTCTGTGTACCAACTCTGCTCCACCGAGGTAGTCACAGGCACACAGACACGTAAGACAAATCATGGCAATTCTTTTGAGGGGATAGAATTTTAAAATGTTTTTGACTTGGATTTTGCAGGATCTGGAATTGGCCAAGACTCTCGTAAGGAAAGGCTCACTCTTTCCTGAAGAACTTTCAGAGGCAAAAAATTTCTCCCGAGAGGGTTATGCGTCTGTCTCACGTGCCTATATTTTCCTCAGTGAGGACTTGATAATTCCAAAAGAGTATCAACAATGGATGATCCAAAATGCTGGAATTCATACTGTGAGGGAGATCAATGGAGCAGATCACATGGCTATGCTTGGTAAAACCAAGGATCTCTGTTCAATTCTTCTCGAGATTGCTGATAACTGAGCACTCTCATTGCAGAATTTGATCCAGAAAATCCATTACCTGTTTCAAAAGATTAAAACTATCTCGATAGTGTTTTATTTCTTTATGAATAAACTTAATTATCTTTTCTATGTGTAAGTGTTTGTACTTTCTGGAATAAAGTGTTGTCTCTCAGAAACGCTTGTTTGCTATGATTAATGCTATATATAAAGAGAGATTGAGTAGATTTCTTTTTTCTTTGGTTGAGATTTTGATCAATGTGTTTATCAGCATGGCTGATTAAAACACTGTAATATAGAATAATATAATACAATATGTTTTAGTAGGGATGTGGAGACCGAGATACCAACCTAATAAAACTGGACTGCTTCTTCTTGTGATGCCTATTGCGACGCTCCCTCTCTCTCTATGCTCTGTTCTCTGGGAGAAGATGGGCTGGGTACCTGCAAAGGCACTCCGACGCTCAAGTCAAGAAAGGAATGTCTGATTAATCTTCAGAATAATAATCTCTTTCTTAATTTCTCTTAGGGGAAAAACGTACCTTTTTTCCGGTGTGCTTTGCATATTTAAATCAGTAAAATAAACCGTTTACCTGAAAATCCGGTCAGTTACTGAAGTTGACTATTTGGAAGTTATAACTGCTAGGTCGTGTTTGATACTGAGTCAATTACCTCCGCGATTCATGGTGTTAGCTAATATTCGTAACTGCTTATTCTTAACCGCTTAATCGTATATTTACGATATTGCGCTTTGCATGTCGATCGTCCTGTTAAACGACACAGATGGGCGACTTGTCGCGCGAGCACTATATGTCACGACATCACTGTTTGGTTTTCGATCACTAAGTGGTCGACATCAACATTTAAGCGTGCGACCTTACGACCGTGAGAAGGGTCAGCATTGCATATCCTTATTATTAGCTTCTGGGTTACCGGTCGACCATTGGTGAACTAGGTATCCTATAGTACACAATACTTTTGATATATTTTTAGCTGAAATAATTTTAGACCTTTTGATTTTTGATATATAGCTCTCTGATTATTGAGTCAAGGCCAGAATAAAAAATTGCAGAATCAATTTGAAAAATACAATTACAAAATTCGAAAATGATAGACAAGTTATGATTGACCGAGACTCTACGCAAATTAGGTCTGATAAGGACATTTTTTATGTTTTATCTTCCGTCCTTATTAAAATACTATTTTTGTTTTTTTAATTCTTTTTTCGTTTCTATTTTTTTTTTCTTCCACAAAAGTTATTAACTTTTACAATTATTTTAAGAAAGTGCTATTTAAATTTTTTATTAGTTAATAATGTAAAATTTACATCAATAATATATCAAAGTTCAACTCTAATTTTATTTTGTANTATATATAGCAGGCATGAGATATGAGTTTGTGTGTATATACTAAATACATAGTATTAATTTAGTAGATGCAGGGATGAGGTGAGAATTAAAATGGTTATCCATTCAAGAATAGAACAATTACATTTTTACTATTTTAAAAACCTACCGCTACCATACTATATTAATACGCTTTAAACTCATCTTTAATCTACCTCCTTAAAATTGGTTGGATAGAGTTTGGATAACTAATGGCAATGAATGTCGAAACACGGATATCCTTGCTCTGTACAACAAAAATTACTCTTTCTATCTCAATTAAAATCACCAAATTAAAGTTAATTTTGATCTATGTACTTTAAGTATTGTTAGAAAAATGGTTAATTAAAATAAAGATGCGAAATAGATAATAACGTTGTGGATGTGGATTTGGACAGTTGACTAAGAAAGAACCACTTAATGGATGGATGGACTGCGAGATATCGAAGACTGGAAACAAAACCACGCTTCTTTTCGGTCCTGAGTTTTTGTCCACTTCTGTGTACCAACTCTGCTCCACCGAGGTAGTCACAGGCACACAGACACGTAAGACAAATCATGGCAATTCTTTTGAGGGGATAGAATTTTAAAATGTTTTTGACTTGGATTTTGCAGGATCTGGAATTGGCCAAGACTCTCGTAAGGAAAGGCTCACTCTTTCCTGAAGAACTTTCAGAGGCAAAAAATTTCTCCCGAGAGGGTTATGCGTCTGTCTCACGTGCCTATATTATCCTCAGTGAGGACTTGATAATTCCAAAAGAGTATCAACAATGGATGATCCAAAATGCTGGAATTCATACTGTGAGGGAGATCAATGGAGCAGATCACATGGCTATGCTTGGTAAAACCAAGGATCTCTGTTCAATTCTTCTCGAGATTGCTGATAACTGAGCACTCTCATTGCAGAATTTGATCCAGAAAATCCATTACCTGTTTCAAAAGATTAAAACTATCTCGATAGTGTTTTATTTCTTTATGAATAAACTTAATTATCTTTTCTATGTGTAAGTGTTTGTACTTTCTGGAATAAAGTGTTGTCTCTCAGAAACGCTTGTTTGCTATGATTAATGCTATATATAAAGAGAGATTGAGTAGATTTCTTTTTTCTTTGGTTGAGATTTTGATCAATGTGTTTATCAGCATGGCTGATTAAAACACTGTAATATAGAATAATATAATACAATATGTTTTAGTAGGGATGTGGAGACCGAGATACCAACCTAATAAAACTGGACTGCTTCTTCTTGTGATGCCTATTGCGACGCTCCCTCTCTCTCTATGCTCTGTTCTCTGGGAGAAGATGGGCTGGGTACCTGCAAAGGCACTCCGACGCTCAAGTCAAGAAAGGAATGTCTGATTAATCTTCAGAATAATAATCTCTTTCTTAATTTCTCTTAGGGGAAAAACGTACCTTTTTCCGGTGTGCTTTGCATATTTAAATCAGTAAAATAAACCGTTTACCTGAAAATCCGGTCAGTTACTGAAGTTGACTATTTGGAAGTTATAACTGCTAGGTCGTGTTTGATACTGAGTCAATTACCTCCGCGATTCATGGTGTTAGCTAATATTCGTAACTGCTTATTCTTAACCGCTTAATCGTATATTTACGATATTGCGCTTTGCATGTCGATCGTCCTGTTAAACGACACAGATGGGCGACTTGTCGCGCGAGCACTATATGTCACGACATCACTGTTTGGTTTTCGATCACTAAGTGGTCGACATCAACATTTAAGCGTGCGACCTTACGACCGTGAGAAGGGTCAGCATTGCATATCCTTATTATTAGCTTCTGGGTTACCGGTCGACCATTGGTGAACTAGGTATCCTATAGTACACAATACTTTTGATATATTTTTAGCTGAAATAATTTTAGACCTTTTGATTTTTGATATATAGCTCTCTGATTATTGAGTCAAGGCCAGAATAAAAAATTGCAGAATCAATTTGAAAAATACAATTACAAAATTCGAAAATGATAGACAAGTTATGATTGACCGAGACTCTACGCAAATTAGGTCTGATAAGGACATTTTTTATGTTTTATCTTCCGTCCTTATTAAAATACTATTTTTGTTTTTTTAATTCTTTTTTCGTTTCTATTTTTTTTTTCTTCCACAAAAGTTATTAACTTTTACAATTATTTTAAGAAAGTGCTATTTAAATTTTTTATTAGTTAATAATGTAAAATTTACATCAATAATATATCAAAGTTCAACTCTAATTTTATTTTGTAAACATGTTAGATGTGAGGAACTAACTTTTTAAAATACTTAAAGTTCATTCAATGAGATTATTTTTTCTAATATTGTCTTCGTTCATATATATTTAAATATCAAACTCTTCTTCATAGCATGTTTATAAAAATATCATGTTAATTAGAGTCTAGTATATTTTAACTATTTACTTAACATATTATATTTTGATTAATAGAAAAAGTTAAGATTAGCATAGCAAGTTATTCAAATATATATGGATTATAAAGCATCTATCTATCCAAATTATAAAAATTATACTGAATCGGAACATTTTTAGGCTATTTTGTAAGAAAGTCTAAGAACTTTCTTCACTGAAAGCGTTTTTTTTTTGTGTCGTTTATGTCATTCAAATTATTTTTAAATTAAGCTTTAATATTTTCAAGATAAAATGTCTTTAGTTAAAAATAGTCTTGTATATCAATATAATTTTCAAAAACATAACTATTTTGTTAAAACAGCGTCTATTATCATAAATATCATACTTACAATATAATTTATATATTTAAAAACATTTATTTATTATAAAGTTTAGAGTTATAAAATAAACATTTTGACCCTGTCACTTCAATAGCATGCAATTGTGTGTGGTGTGGCTGAGACATAGCATGCAACAATTACATGAACAAAGTATGTTTTTGTGCAGTAGAGGGTCATGCTCCGTCTCTGCTCCAAAAATGCACCAGCGTCACTTCAATACGAGAGGCGCGTCAACTCCACGCCCTAATATTAACTACTACCACTGTCTTCAACTCCCAATCTCCGTTTGTGTACAACAACATCCTCTCCATGTACGCTCGGTGTGGTTCACTCACAGACTCTCACCTTGTGTTCGACAAAATGCCTCGCAGAACTGTTGTTTCCTACAACGCACTTTTTGCAGCCTATTCTCGAGCTTCATCAAACCATGCCATTTCGGCTCTTGAACTGTATATCCAGATGGAAACTAAGGGTCTAAGACCCTCCAGCATGACTTTTACTAGCTTGCTGCAAGCATCTTCCTTGCTTCAACATTGGTGGTTTGGATCATCGCTTCATGCCAAGGCCTTCAAGTTGGGTTTGAATGATATTTGTTTCCAAACTTCTTTGCTTAATATGTACTCAACCTGCGGGGATTTGAGTTCAGCTGAATTGGTTTTTGGGGATATGATTGATAGAGATGATGTTGCTTGGAATTCTCTCATTGTGGGATATCTGAAGAATAATAAGATCAAGGAGGGTTTTCGGCTGTTTATTACAATGATGAGGGTTGGTTTTGTCCCAACCCAGTTCACCTATTGTATGGTTTTGAATGCCTGTAGTCATCTGAAGGATTATCGCTCTGGTAGATTGATTCATGCCCATGTGATTGTTAGGAATGTGCCGGTGGATTTACATCTACAAAATGCTCTTTTAGACATGTACTGCAACATTGGCAATACGCGAACAGCTTATGAGATTTTTAGTAGAATGGAATGCCCGGATTTAGTTTCTTGGAACTCAATGATTGCTGGGTATTCTGAGAATGAGGATGGAAAGAATGCCATGAATTTATTTGTTCAGTTGCGAGAAATGTGTTTTCCTGAACCGGATGACTACACCTATGCTAGCATTATATCAGCAACTGGCGCATTCCCATCTTCCAGTTATGGAAAATCTCTTCATGCTGAAGTTATTAAAATGGGATTTGAGAGAAGCATGTTTGTAGGAAGCACTCTAGTGTCTATGTATTTCAAAAATCATGAAAGTGAAGCTGCTCGGCGAGTATTTTATTCAATATCAGTGAAGGATGTTATTCTCTGGACGGAAATGATCACTGGTTATTCTAAAACTACTGATGGAATTAGGGCAATTAGATGCTTTTTCGAAATGGTTCATGAAGCCCATGAGGTTGATGACTATGTTCTCAGTGGAGTTTTTAGTGCCTGTGCTGACCTTGCACTTTTAAGACAAGGCGAAATAATTCATTGCTATGCTGTTAAATTGGGTTATGATGTTGAAATGTCTGTTTCTGGGAGTCTAATTGATATGTATGCAAAAAATGGTAGCCTTGAAGCTGCATATTTGGTATTTTCCCAAGTTTCAGACCCAGATTTGAAGTGTTGGAACTCAATGCTTGGTGGATATAGTCACCATGGAATGGTCGAGGAGGCATTGAAACTTTTTGAGGAGATTCTCAAACAAGGTCTGATTCCCGATCAAGTGACATTCTTGTCTTTATTGTCTGGTTGCAGCCACCGTAGGTGGGTTGAGCAAGGAAATTTTCTCTGGAATTATATGAACCGCATTGGCTTGATTCCAGGGCCTAAGCACTACTCTTGCATGGTAAATTTGTTCAGTCGAGCAGCATTACTGGAAGAGGCGGAAGAAATTATCAATAAGTCACCTTATACTGAAGATAATCTAGAACTATGGAGAACTTTGTTAAGTGCTTGTGTTATAAATAAAAATTTTAAAGTGGGAATTCATGCAGCAGAGGAAGTTTTGAGATTGAAAGCAGAAGATGGTCCGACGCTTGTTTTGCTTTCTAATCTTTATTCCGCTGCAAGGAGATGGGATAAAGTTGCAGAAATAAGAAGAAATATGAGGGGATCGATCTTAGAGAAAGATCCAGGGTTGAGTTGGATTGAGGCCAAAAATGGCATTCATGTGTTCTCTTCCGGAGATCATTCACATCCCAAGGCTGATGAAGTGCAGGCTGAGTTGCACAGGCTAAAAAGAAATATGATTAGAACAGGAAATGATGACAGAGGAAGTAGATTATGATTAAACCACTGTGGATAGGGATGATTGGACATGTAATTTTTCCATCTTCTCCTTGTACTCAGGAAGTTTTATAATATTATTCTCTAAATCAAAATATTTGTTCAATGCACTAATACAATTATATGTTTGTTAATTAAATCATCATTTAATTGACTATAAATCTCTTGGCCACAATGTGGAGGATTATATTTAATCATCGTCTCCAATGAAAGAGCTAGCATTTGTGCCAAGCCAACATAACTATCCAGTCAAATATTAAGAAGCTCTTTGTTTCATCTTTACCAATAACAAAATTTACACAGTACTGAATGTGCCATTATTAGTTTTTTTTTTCTTTAAGAATAAGGGGATTAGATTTATAAAATTATAGATGTGCTCCTTCATGTATTAACCCTTTCTGACTCTCTTAAATAGTCCCTAAAAGAATAAAAATATATAAATAGTTCCTTAAATATATGAATATTCAGCAAATTAATTTTTGTATTTATATATTTTATTAATGTTTATATACTGATTTTAAAATATAAATATTTGAAAGAGTATTTGGCATCATTTCTAATACTTGAAAAATTATTTATATAATTTTTTACTTTAGGAACTATTCAGAAAGAAGAAAATATTTTCAAAATTAAATTGAGAGTTAATTGGAATTTTTACNAATTATATGAACCGCATTGGCTTGATTCCAGGGCCTAAGCACTACTCTTGCATGGTAAATTTGTTCAGTCGAGCAGCATTACTGGAAGAGGCGGAAGAAATTATCAATAAGTCACCTTATACTGAAGATAATCTAGAACTATGGAGAACTTTGTTAAGTGCTTGTGTTATAAATAAAAATTTTAAAGTGGGAATTCATGCAGCAGAGGAAGTTTTGAGATTGAAAGCAGAAGATGGTCCGACGCTTGTTTTGCTTTCTAATCTTTATTCCGCTGCAAGGAGATGGGATAAAGTTGCAGAAATAAGAAGAAATATGAGGGGATCGATCTTAGAGAAAGATCCAGGGTTGAGTTGGATTGAGGCCAAAAATGGCATTCATGTGTTCTCTTCCGGAGATCATTCACATCCCAAGGCTGATGAAGTGCAGGCTGAGTTGCACAGGCTAAAAAGAAATATGATTAGAACAGGAAATGATGACAGAGGAAGTAGATTATGATTAAACCACTGTGGATAGGGATGATTGGACATGTAATTTTTCCATCTTCTCCTTGTACTCAGGAAGTTTTATAATATTATTCTCTAAATCAAAATATTTGTTCAATGCACTAATACAATTATATGTTTGTTAATTAAATCATCATTTAATTGACTATAAATCTCTTGGCCACAATGTGGAGGATTATATTTAATCATCGTCTCCAATGAAAGAGCTAGCATTTGTGCCAAGCCAACATAACTATCCAGTCAAATATTAAGAAGCTCTTTGTTTCATCTTTACCAATAACAAAATTTACACAGTACTGAATGTGCCATTATTAGTTTTTTTTTTCTTTAAGAATAAGGGGATTAGATTTATAAAATTATAGATGTGCTCCTTCATGTATTAACCCTTTCTGACTCTCTTAAATAGTCCCTAAAAGAATAAAAATATATAAATAGTTCCTTAAATATATGAATATTCAGCAAATTAATTTTTGTATTTATATATTTTATTAATGTTTATATACTTATTTTAAAATATAAATATTTGAAAGAGTATTTGGCATCATTTCTAATACTTGAAAAATTATTTATATAATTTTTTACTTTAGGAACTATTCAGAAAGAAGAAAATATTTTCAAAATTAAATTGAGAGTTAATTGGATTTTTTACGTATACAAAACTATGCAGTGTTACTATATTATCATCTTATACAAAAAAAAAATTAAAATCCCTGTTGCTTTATATCTTTCAAAGCATCCGCCAAATGAAGTTGTTATATATGAAAAGTGAATTTGATCTATTTAATTTGCATTTTAAGAAAAATTAGAAGATTTGTTCAAGTAACCAATGGAATATATTTTCTGTTTGGGAATATAACTCTTAAAACGTAGTGCAATTTAATTGTGAATCATTAAGTCCAAAAAACCATTAACAAGATGACATACTCTGCAAGACTCGATCCTCAGAATTTTACACATTCAAAAAAAGTATTTTGAAGGGCAATTTTATTTGTGTTGCGCTTATGCGTATAAAACCTAGTTATCTTGGACCTTTACTTTTAAGTATCCAGCCAAATCCCCTTATTATTTTGCTTTTTAAAATTAATGTATTTAATGCGTTTGATTTCTTATAATAACGAATTTCGTTATTAAAGATTTAGTGCACAAAACAAAGCACCAAATTACATCAATAAAAATTAACAATTTAAAAGTACTAAAGGTACCAATTTATCACGATATTTACGGGGTTTCAGTAGTGTGGGTTGGGTTTGTCTCGAGCTTTAAATAGTGAAGAAGTCTGAGAGTTTTAAAGTTCAATTACTCCAAGTTAAATAGTGAATAAGTCTGGGTGTTTTAAAGTTCAATTACTCCAAGTTTACAATAATATATCAGTAAAATGTATCCAAATATCTTCCAAGCAGTTGGTATCTTTTACAACAGCGAGGGGTGTATCAAACTCAACCTGGAACCAGGAAGAAAGCAAAGCTACAGCATATAGNGCTGATTAAAACACTGTAATATAGAATAATATAATACAATATGTTTTAGTAGGGATGTGGAGACCGAGATACCAACCTAATAAAACTGGACTGCTTCTTCTTGTGATGCCTATTGCGACGCTCCCTCTCTCTCTATGCTCTGTTCTCTGGGAGAAGATGGGCTGGGTACCTGCAAAGGCACTCCGACGCTCAAGTCAAGAAAGGAATGTCTGATTAATCTTCAGAATAATAATCTCTTTCTTAATTTCTCTTAGGGGAAAAACGTACCTTTTTTCCGGTGTGCTTTGCATATTTAAATCAGTAAAATAAACCGTTTACCTGAAAATCCGGTCAGTTACTGAAGTTGACTATTTGGAAGTTATAACTGCTAGGTCGTGTTTGATACTGAGTCAATTACCTCCGCGATTCATGGTGTTAGCTAATATTCGTAACTGCTTATTCTTAACCGCTTAATCGTATATTTACGATATTGCGCTTTGCATGTCGATCGTCCTGTTAAACGACACAGATGGGCGACTTGTCGCGCGAGCACTATATGTCACGACATCACTGTTTGGTTTTCGATCACTAAGTGGTCGACATCAACATTTAAGCGTGCGACCTTACGACCGTGAGAAGGGTCAGCATTGCATATCCTTATTATTAGCTTCTGGGTTACCGGTCGACCATTGGTGAACTAGGTATCCTATAGTACACAATACTTTTGATATATTTTTAGCTGAAATAATTTTAGACCTTTTGATTTTTGATATATAGCTCTCTGATTATTGAGTCAAGGCCAGAATAAAAAATTGCAGAATCAATTTGAAAAATACAATTACAAAATTCGAAAATGATAGACAAGTTATGATTGACCGAGACTCTACGCAAATTAGGTCTGATAAGGACATTTTTTATGTTTTATCTTCCGTCCTTATTAAAATACTATTTTTGTTTTTTTAATTCTTTTTTCGTTTCTATTTTTTTTTTCTTCCACAAAAGTTATTAACTTTTACAATTATTTTAAGAAAGTGCTATTTAAATTTTTTATTAGTTAATAATGTAAAATTTACATCAATAATATATCAAAGTTCAACTCTAATTTTATTTTGTAAACATGTTAGATGTGAGGAACTAACTTTTTAAAATACTTAAAGTTCATTCAATGAGATTATTTTTTCTAATATTGTCTTCGTTCATATATATTTAAATATCAAACTCTTCTTCATAGCATGTTTATAAAAATATCATGTTAATTAGAGTCTAGTATATTTTAACTATTTACTTAACATATTATATTTTGATTAATAGAAAAAGTTAAGATTAGCATAGCAAGTTATTCAAATATATATGGATTATAAAGCATCTATCTATCCAAATTATAAAAATTATACTGAATCGGAACATTTTTAGGCTATTTTGTAAGAAAGTCTAAGAACTTTCTTCACTGAAAGCGTTTTTTTTTTGTGTCGTTTATGTCATTCAAATTATTTTTAAATTAAGCTTTAATATTTTCAAGATAAAATGTCTTTAGTTAAAAATAGTCTTGTATATCAATATAATTTTCAAAAACATAACTATTTTGTTAAAACAGCGTCTATTATCATAAATATCATACTTACAATATAATTTATATATTTAAAAACATTTATTTATTATAAAGTTTAGAGTTATAAAATAAACATTTTGACCCTGTCACTTCAATAGCATGCAATTGTGTGTGGTGTGGCTGAGACATAGCATGCAACAATTACATGAACAAAGTATGTTTTTGTGCAGTAGAGGGTCATGCTCCGTCTCTGCTCCAAAAATGCACCAGCGTCACTTCAATACGAGAGGCGCGTCAACTCCACGCCCTAATATTAACTACTACCACTGTCTTCAACTCCCAATCTCCGTTTGTGTACAACAACATCCTCTCCATGTACGCTCGGTGTGGTTCACTCACAGACTCTCACCTTGTGTTCGACAAAATGCCTCGCAGAACTGTTGTTTCCTACAACGCACTTTTTGCAGCCTATTCTCGAGCTTCATCAAACCATGCCATTTCGGCTCTTGAACTGTATATCCAGATGGAAACTAAGGGTCTAAGACCCTCCAGCATGACTTTTACTAGCTTGCTGCAAGCATCTTCCTTGCTTCAACATTGGTGGTTTGGATCATCGCTTCATGCCAAGGCCTTCAAGTTGGGTTTGAATGATATTTGTTTCCAAACTTCTTTGCTTAATATGTACTCAACCTGCGGGGATTTGAGTTCAGCTGAATTGGTTTTTGGGGATATGATTGATAGAGATGATGTTGCTTGGAATTCTCTCATTGTGGGATATCTGAAGAATAATAAGATCAAGGAGGGTTTTCGGCTGTTTATTACAATGATGAGGGTTGGTTTTGTCCCAACCCAGTTCACCTATTGTATGGTTTTGAATGCCTGTAGTCATCTGAAGGATTATCGCTCTGGTAGATTGATTCATGCCCATGTGATTGTTAGGAATGTGCCGGTGGATTTACATCTACAAAATGCTCTCTTAGACATGTACTGCAACATTGGCAATACGCGAACAGCTTATGAGATTTTTAGTAGAATGGAATGCCCGGATTTAGTTTCTTGGAACTCAATGATTGCTGGGTATTCTGAGAATGAGGATGGAAAGAATGCCATGAATTTATTTGTTCAGTTGCGAGAAATGTGTTTTCCTGAACCGGATGACTACACCTATGCTAGCATTATATCAGCAACTGGCGCATTCCCATCTTCCAGTTATGGAAAATCTCTTCATGCTGAAGTTATTAAAATGGGATTTGAGAGAAGCATGTTTGTAGGAAGCACTCTAGTGTCTATGTATTTCAAAAATCATGAAAGTGAAGCTGCTCGGCGAGTATTTTATTCAATATCAGTGAAGGATGTTATTCTCTGGACGGAAATGATCACTGGTTATTCTAAAACGACTGATGGAATTAGGGCAATTAGATGCTTTTTCGAAATGGTTCATGAAGCCCATGAGGTTGATGACTATGTTCTCAGTGGAGTTTTTAGTGCCTGTGCTGACCTTGCACTTTTAAGACAAGGCGAAATAATTCATTGCTATGCTGTTAAATTGGGTTATGATGTTGAAATGTCTGTTTCTGGGAGTCTAATTGATATGTATGCAAAAAATGGTAGCCTTGAAGCTGCATATTTGGTATTTTCCCAAGTTTCAGACCCAGATTTGAAGTGTTGGAACTCAATGCTTGGTGGATATAGTCACCATGGAATGGTCGAGGAGGCATTGAAACTTTTTGAGGAGATTCTCAAACAAGGTCTGATTCCCGATCAAGTGACATTCTTGTCTTTATTGTCTGGTTGCAGCCACCGTAGGTGGGTTGAGCAAGGAAATTTTCTCTGGAATTATATGAACCGCATTGGCTTGATTCCAGGGCCTAAGCACTACTCTTGCATGGTAAATTTGTTCAGTCGAGCAGCATTACTGGAAGAGGCGGAAGAAATTATCAATAAGTCACCTTATACTGAAGATAATCTAGAACTATGGAGAACTTTGTTAAGTGCTTGTGTTATAAATAAAAATTTTAAAGTGGGAATTCATGCAGCAGAGGAAGTTTTGAGATTGAAAGCAGAAGATGGTCCGACGCTTGTTTTGCTTTCTAATCTTTATTCCGCTGCAAGGAGATGGGATAAAGTTGCAGAAATAAGAAGAAATATGAGGGGATCGATCTTAGAGAAAGATCCAGGGTTGAGTTGGATTGAGGCCAAAAATGGCATTCATGTGTTCTCTTCCGGAGATCATTCACATCCCAAGGCTGATGAAGTGCAGGCTGAGTTGCACAGGCTAAAAAGAAATATGATTAGAACAGGAAATGATGACAGAGGAAGTAGATAATGATTAAACCGCTGTGGATAGGGATGATGGACATGTAATTTCTCCATCTTCTCCTTGTATTCAGGAAGTTTTATAATATTATTCTCTAAATCAAAATATTTGTTCAATGCACTAATACAATTATATGTTTGTTAATTAAATCATCATTTAATTGACTATAAATCTCTTGGCCACAATGTGGAGGATTATATTTAATCATCGTCTCCAATGAAAGAGCTAGCATCTGTGCCAAGCCAACATAACTATCCAGTCAAATATTAAGAAGCTCTTTGTTTCATCTTTACCAATAACAAAATTTACACAGTACTGAATGTGCCATTATTAGTTTTTTTTTTCTTTAAGAATAAGGGGATTAGATTTATAAAATTATAGATGTGCTCCTTCATGTATTAACCCTTTCTGACTCTCTTAAATAGTCCCTAAAAGAATAAAAATATATAAATAGTTCCTTAAATATATGAATATTCAGCAAATTAATTTTTGTATTTATATATTTTATTAATGTTTATATACTAATTTTAAAATATAAATATTTGAAAGAGTATTTGGCATCATTTCTAATACTTGAAAAATTATTTATATAATTTTTTACTTTAGGAACTATTCAGAAAGAAGAAAATATTTTCAAAATTAAATTGAGAGTTAATTGGAGTTTTTACGTATACAAAACTATGCAGTGTTACTATATTATCATCTTATACAAAAAAAAAATTTAAAAATCCCTGTTTCTTTATATCTTTCAAAGCATCCGCCAAAAGAAGTTGTTATATATGAAAAGTGAATTTGATCTATTTAATTTGCATTTTAAGAAAAAATAGAAGATTTGTTCAAGTAACCAATGGAATATATTTTCTGTTTGGGAATATAACTCTTTAAAACGTAGTGCAATTTAATTGTGAATCATTAAGTCTGCAAGATGACATACTCTGCAAGACTCGGTCCTCAGAATTTTACACATTCAAAAGAAGTATTTTGAAGGGCAATTTTATTTGTGTTGCGCTTATGCGTATAAAACCTAGTTATCTTGGACCTTTACTTTTAAGTATCCAGCCAAATCCCCTTATTATTTTGCTTTTTAAAATTAATGTATTTAATGCGTTTGATTTCTTATAATAACGAATTTCGTTATTAAAGATTTAGTGCACAAAACAAAGCACCAAATTACATCAATAAAAATTAACAATTTAAAAGTACTAAAGGTACCAATTTATCACGATATTTACGGGGTTTCAGTAGTGTGGGTTGGGTTTGTCTCGAGCTTTAAATAGTGAAGAAGTCTGAGAGTTTTAAAGTTCAATTACTCCAAGTTAAATAGTGAATAAGTCTGGGTGTTTTAAAGTTCAATTACTCCAAGTTTACAATAATATATCAGTAAAATGTATCCAAATATCTTCCAAGCAGTTGGTATCTTTTACAACAGCGAGGGGTGTATCAAACTCAACCTGGAACCAGGAAGAAAGCAAAGCTACAGCATATAGCATTCAAAATCATCTAACCTATATTAATCTACAATGTTAAAGAAAATGGGTCAACAGTAGCTAAAAGAAAATACCCAATGGAAGAACTCAATGGACTGAAACAGGGCCGCATCCAATTGTCCACGATACGTGCCAGTGCCCTCAATGCGACATCTACATTCCAATTCAGAGGAAAAACCATTTACGACCATCTAATAAGGAAAAACCATTGCTTCGAGCAAGAAAATTGCTTATTTGCTCGGCAACAGGAAAGATTCCAATCAACTTTATGCTTTCAGATCACACTTATCAGCGTCGAGCAGTTCTGGATTTCGCCCGTGGATTTTTCTGCAAGAACATCATAGAAACGAAGATTCAGAAGAAGCAATCATACAAAGCACAAAATTCACAATGCTTAATTCTATTAAGACTGACAAGACACGACATACTAGGATTGTTTTAAATAATTAACAGAAATAGTCTACAAACGTGCCAGTAAGGATAAAATTTATTTTACCGATCCAGGTCCAAAGCTAGCCCCAGATCCTGTTGCAGCGCCTGGAAAGAATACCGAGCAAATTGTTAATTTCATTTGACAATAGAATTAAGGATAAGAACCCAAACCCCTCCCCTATTCTTTATTTCCTTCTACTTTTCTCCAAAAATATGAAATTGACAATGAAGGTTCAAATTTCTAGGGGACAAAAGACTAGTGTTAATGGATCCTGGTTCCATCCTCTTTCCCTCTAGCGGTCAAGTACAACAATAGGATGCTCAGTAATTTCAAACAGATTTCCAAAATCGGAACATGTCAGCTTGTGAACCGGAATAGGACACGGTCCTCCAGACCTTTGAAACGGAACCCTAAAATCCTTTCCAAAACCAAACTTAAACCAGAAAACCAGTATAGAATCAGCACTTCATGTGAACCAATTAAAGTCACACGGTTCCACTCAATTCTCTTAATAATGAAAAATGAGAAATAAAACTAATTTTAACTTTTTAACTAGACTGATTATTTGGTTCTTTATTTACAACCGACACTAGCTACTCCGTTAACCTCAGTTGAAACTTAAGATCTTAATCCTCACCCTTTACCATCATTTCTTTAATTCTCCCAATAAACCCTAATTTTTACCTTTTGTGTCCTATGTGTTATGTGGTCCAACATCACCCGAAACTTTGAAATAATGACTACCAAAACATTTTTCTATCTAAAAACAACTATGTAGTCTATCAATACTTGAAAGTAGGATGATGTTAGGAATAAAAGAGGAATACCGAACGGTAACAAGAAGGAAGGAGGGAAGCTAGGCCGAACGGTCTGAATGGAGACAAGGGGGAAGCTAGGCTGAATGGGGTAAGAGAGGAGAAGCTAGGACGATAGGAGAGGAGAAGTAGACCGAACAGTATCACGATAAAGCAGGGGGAAGTACATACCGAACAGCAGACAGAAGGGAGAATGGAAGTACAGACCAGACGGTATGCAGAAGGGAGGAGGGTAGTAGAGGCCGAGGGGTACCGAACGGCAAATGAAGGGAGGAGGGAAGTACATGCCGAATGGTAGACAGAAGGGAGAAGAGAAGTATAGACCGAACGGTATCCAGAAGGAAGGAGGTGTACCGAACGGTAAATTAAAGGTGGATGGGATCAAAGGACAACATTGTATACCCTAGTACCGAACGGTAATTAGTAGAAGCAGGTCATATTAGCAGAGAGGATAGGGCGCGAGAATGAGACACTATAAATAGTCTTCCTATAACTCTAATTGGGGGGATTATTTCTTTTGAGTATAGACTGGGCATATTTGCCAATGGAGGAAGATAGGCTTCCTTGGGGCAGATTACACTTGTAATTTTCTATATCTTACAGAATCAATATTACATACATACATAATTTCATTTCTATTGTTCGAGTGTTGGAGTGAGAAGAGAGTCTAGAATGTAGGTTACTCGCATAAAGTAACCTAACAGATGACTACTATTAAGAAATATAACCCAAAAACAGTACCTGAACCAAATGGAGTTGAAAAGAGTGAATTTGTGGCTGGGGTTGAACTAAACAATGGAGTGGTATTACCGANGCTGCATATTTGGTATTTTCCCAAGTTTCAGACCCAGATTTGAAGTGTTGGAACTCAATGCTTGGTGGATATAGTCACCATGGAATGGTCGAGGAGGCATTGAAACTTTTTGAGGAGATTCTCAAACAAGGTCTGATTCCCGATCAAGTGACATTCTTGTCTTTATTGTCTGGTTGCAGCCACCGTAGGTGGGTTGAGCAAGGAAATTTTCTCTGGAATTATATGAACCGCATTGGCTTGATTCCAGGGCCTAAGCACTACTCTTGCATGGTAAATTTGTTCAGTCGAGCAGCATTACTGGAAGAGGCGGAAGAAATTATCAATAAGTCACCTTATACTGAAGATAATCTAGAACTATGGAGAACTTTGTTAAGTGCTTGTGTTATAAATAAAAATTTTAAAGTGGGAATTCATGCAGCAGAGGAAGTTTTGAGATTGAAAGCAGAAGATGGTCCGACGCTTGTTTTGCTTTCTAATCTTTATTCCGCTGCAAGGAGATGGGATAAAGTTGCAGAAATAAGAAGAAATATGAGGGGATCGATCTTAGAGAAAGATCCAGGGTTGAGTTGGATTGAGGCCAAAAATGGCATTCATGTGTTCTCTTCCGGAGATCATTCACATCCCAAGGCTGATGAAGTGCAGGCTGAGTTGCACAGGCTAAAAAGAAATATGATTAGAACAGGAAATGATGACAGAGGAAGTAGATAATGATTAAACCGCTGTGGATAGGGATGATGGACATGTAATTTCTCCATCTTCTCCTTGTATTCAGGAAGTTTTATAATATTATTCTCTAAATCAAAATATTTGTTCAATGCACTAATACAATTATATGTTTGTTAATTAAATCATCATTTAATTGACTATAAATCTCTTGGCCACAATGTGGAGGATTATATTTAATCATCGTCTCCAATGAAAGAGCTAGCATCTGTGCCAAGCCAACATAACTATCCAGTCAAATATTAAGAAGCTCTTTGTTTCATCTTTACCAATAACAAAATTTACACAGTACTGAATGTGCCATTATTAGTTTTTTTTTTCTTTAAGAATAAGGGGATTAGATTTATAAAATTATAGATGTGCTCCTTCATGTATTAACCCTTTCTGACTCTCTTAAATAGTCCCTAAAAGAATAAAAATATATAAATAGTTCCTTAAATATATGAATATTCAGCAAATTAATTTTTGTATTTATATATTTTATTAATGTTTATATACTAATTTTAAAATATAAATATTTGAAAGAGTATTTGGCATCATTTCTAATACTTGAAAAATTATTTATATAATTTTTTACTTTAGGAACTATTCAGAAAGAAGAAAATATTTTCAAAATTAAATTGAGAGTTAATTGGAGTTTTTACGTATACAAAACTATGCAGTGTTACTATATTATCATCTTATACAAAAAAAAAATTTAAAAATCCCTGTTTCTTTATATCTTTCAAAGCATCCGCCAAAAGAAGTTGTTATATATGAAAAGTGAATTTGATCTATTTAATTTGCATTTTAAGAAAAAATAGAAGATTTGTTCAAGTAACCAATGGAATATATTTTCTGTTTGGGAATATAACTCTTTAAAACGTAGTGCAATTTAATTGTGAATCATTAAGTCTGCAAGATGACATACTCTGCAAGACTCGGTCCTCAGAATTTTACACATTCAAAAGAAGTATTTTGAAGGGCAATTTTATTTGTGTTGCGCTTATGCGTATAAAACCTAGTTATCTTGGACCTTTACTTTTAAGTATCCAGCCAAATCCCCTTATTATTTTGCTTTTTAAAATTAATGTATTTAATGCGTTTGATTTCTTATAATAACGAATTTCGTTATTAAAGATTTAGTGCACAAAACAAAGCACCAAATTACATCAATAAAAATTAACAATTTAAAAGTACTAAAGGTACCAATTTATCACGATATTTACGGGGTTTCAGTAGTGTGGGTTGGGTTTGTCTCGAGCTTTAAATAGTGAAGAAGTCTGAGAGTTTTAAAGTTCAATTACTCCAAGTTAAATAGTGAATAAGTCTGGGTGTTTTAAAGTTCAATTACTCCAAGTTTACAATAATATATCAGTAAAATGTATCCAAATATCTTCCAAGCAGTTGGTATCTTTTACAACAGCGAGGGGTGTATCAAACTCAACCTGGAACCAGGAAGAAAGCAAAGCTACAGCATATAGCATTCAAAATCATCTAACCTATATTAATCTACAATGTTAAAGAAAATGGGTCAACAGTAGCTAAAAGAAAATACCCAATGGAAGAACTCAATGGACTGAAACAGGGCCGCATCCAATTGTCCACGATACGTGCCAGTGCCCTCAATGCGACATCTACATTCCAATTCAGAGGAAAAACCATTTACGACCATCTAATAAGGAAAAACCATTGCTTCGAGCAAGAAAATTGCTTATTTGCTCGGCAACAGGAAAGATTCCAATCAACTTTATGCTTTCAGATCACACTTATCAGCGTCGAGCAGTTCTGGATTTCGCCCGTGGATTTTTCTGCAAGAACATCATAGAAACGAAGATTCAGAAGAAGCAATCATACAAAGCACAAAATTCACAATGCTTAATTCTATTAAGACTGACAAGACACGACATACTAGGATTGTTTTAAATAATTAACAGAAATAGTCTACAAACGTGCCAGTAAGGATAAAATTTATTTTACCGATCCAGGTCCAAAGCTAGCCCCAGATCCTGTTGCAGCGCCTGGAAAGAATACCGAGCAAATTGTTAATTTCATTTGACAATAGAATTAAGGATAAGAACCCAAACCCCTCCCCTATTCTTTATTTCCTTCTACTTTTCTCCAAAAATATGAAATTGACAATGAAGGTTCAAATTTCTAGGGGACAAAAGACTAGTGTTAATGGATCCTGGTTCCATCCTCTTTCCCTCTAGCGGTCAAGTACAACAATAGGATGCTCAGTAATTTCAAACAGATTTCCAAAATCGGAACATGTCAGCTTGTGAACCGGAATAGGACACGGTCCTCCAGACCTTTGAAACGGAACCCTAAAATCCTTTCCAAAACCAAACTTAAACCAGAAAACCAGTATAGAATCAGCACTTCATGTGAACCAATTAAAGTCACACGGTTCCACTCAATTCTCTTAATAATGAAAAATGAGAAATAAAACTAATTTTAACTTTTTAACTAGACTGATTATTTGGTTCTTTATTTACAACCGACACTAGCTACTCCGTTAACCTCAGTTGAAACTTAAGATCTTAATCCTCACCCTTTACCATCATTTCTTTAATTCTCCCAATAAACCCTAATTTTTACCTTTTGTGTCCTATGTGTTATGTGGTCCAACATCACCCGAAACTTTGAAATAATGACTACCAAAACATTTTTCTATCTAAAAACAACTATGTAGTCTATCAATACTTGAAAGTAGGATGATGTTAGGAATAAAAGAGGAATACCGAACGGTAACAAGAAGGAAGGAGGGAAGCTAGGCCGAACGGTCTGAATGGAGACAAGGGGGAAGCTAGGCTGAATGGGGTAAGAGAGGAGAAGCTAGGACGATAGGAGAGGAGAAGTAGACCGAACAGTATCACGATAAAGCAGGGGGAAGTACATACCGAACAGCAGACAGAAGGGAGAATGGAAGTACAGACCAGACGGTATGCAGAAGGGAGGAGGGTAGTAGAGGCCGAGGGGTACCGAACGGCAAATGAAGGGAGGAGGGAAGTACATGCCGAATGGTAGACAGAAGGGAGAAGAGAAGTATAGACCGAACGGTATCCAGAAGGAAGGAGGTGTACCGAACGGTAAATTAAAGGTGGATGGGATCAAAGGACAACATTGTATACCCTAGTACCGAACGGTAATTAGTAGAAGCAGGTCATATTAGCAGAGAGGATAGGGCGCGAGAATGAGACACTATAAATAGTCTTCCTATAACTCTAATTGGGGGGATTATTTCTTTTGAGTATAGACTGGGCATATTTGCCAATGGAGGAAGATAGGCTTCCTTGGGGCAGATTACACTTGTAATTTTCTATATCTTACAGAATCAATATTACATACATACATAATTTCATTTCTATTGTTCGAGTGTTGGAGTGAGAAGAGAGTCTAGAATGTAGGTTACTCGCATAAAGTAACCTAACAGATGACTACTATTAAGAAATATAACCCAAAAACAGTACCTGAACCAAATGGAGTTGAAAAGAGTGAATTTGTGGCTGGGGTTGAACTAAACAATGGAGTGGTATTACCGAACAGAGAGGGAGTTGATGCCTGGCCAGGTACAGATGTTGCAGAACCAAAAAGTGAGGTTTGAGGTCCTGGAGCAGGAGTTGGTGTCGTAAATAGAGATGACAACGCAGAAGACGATGGAGCAGAGGATGGTGTACTAAAAAGAGAGAATCCACTTCCTGATGACAATGATGTAGTTGCTGCAGATGTCTGTGGGGCAGGCAATGCTGCTTGAGTCCCTGAACTAGAAAACAACCCAGCAACTTGAGTTGAGGGTTGTGGATTTGCAGGTAAATGTAATGTTGGATGAACTCTTTTTGATGCAGCTTCTTGTCTAGCAGTTTCTCGCCTATCTGCCTCCAAAAACGGGTCATTCACCTCCCCCCGGTGACGCTGATCAGCTAGGTATGATGATTTCATAGATTCAATGAACTGATGAATGCTCTCCACCTGAATAGACATAATTTAAAAATTGGTTATCATTGCTGTAAATGAGAATTGGTAACATTATAGGGCATGGTTTTGTATATGCACGAGAACCCTTTTAGCAAAAGGGTCAACTGTACATTTATCATCATCACTACTACAAAAGCTTCTGGCCTTTCATTCATTACAATAAGCAGAAAATGGAGCATGATACCATAGTAGTTCCATATGAAATATAGAAAATGATAACAAATTTGAAGTACCAGAGAAGCATAAATATGGACAAGGTGAATGACATATATAATAGACTCTATAAAAAGAGATAGCAATTTAAAATGAACCACAGAAT